ATTCGATTATGCCGCGCAGTGTAGGGCATTGTATTGGTGTCCTTTTCTTCATGTTTCTTTGCTTGGAGTTTGTTAAGCATCTTGAATCTGGATTTATAGTTTTTGTTAATTTTGGAAAAATTTGGGCAGTTATTTCTCCAAATATGTATATTTTTGTTCCCTTCTCTTTATCTTCTCCATTGAGAACTCCTATTATATATCTGTTAGATTTTTAAAAGTTGTCCCACTGTTCACTGATACTTTGTTCATTTTTAAAATCTCTTTTTATATTTCATTTTAGAAAATTTCTGTTTCTGTTTGCTAATATAGCTTCTACAATTTATAACGTGACATTAATCTCATCCAGTGTAGTTTTCATCTCTAAGCAGTGTGATTTGGGTCTTTTCATATCTTCTGTGTTTTTTATTTAACTTTTTGGAACATGTGGAATGCAGTTATAACATTTTAGTGTACTTGCCTGTTAATACCAACATCTGTCCCAGTTCTGGATTGATTTAAATTGATTGCCTTCCTCATTAAGGACTGTATTTTCCTGCTTCTTTGCACGCCTGTTAATTTTTGACTAGATGCCAGACTTGTGGAATGTACTTTGTTAGGTCCAGGATACTTTTGTATTCCAGTCAGTTTCCTTCAGCTTTGTTTCGGGATTCAGTAAAGGTACTTGGAAACAGTTTGATTCTTTCAGGTCTTGCTTGTCAGCTTCCTTAGGCAGGACCAAAGTAGTGCTCAGACCTCTCCACTATGGAGGCACAAGACATTCTGTGTCCTCCATCCCAGCAGTCCCTAACCTTTTTGGCACCGGGGACCGGTGCTCCTATGAGAATCTAATGCTTGATGATCTGAGATGGAGCTGAGGCGGTGTTGCTGGCGCTGGGGAGCGGCTGCAAATACAGATGAAGCTTCGCTTGCTTGCCCACTGCTCACCTCCTGCTGTGTGGCCCGGTTCCTAACAGGCCACAACTGGTACTGGTCTGTGACCTGGGGGTTGGGCACCCCTGCTCTAGCTGATGCCCTGTTAGAAAGTTTTTCAGTCTGCCAGTGGGACTAGGGCACTATTCCCAGTCTCGAGTGAGTGGCAGGTACTGTCCCCATTGATCTTTTCGGGTGGTTTCTCGCCCCGGCCTGGGTAGTTTCCTCACGTGCAGTACTCACCTGAGGACTTGAGGGAGGATCCTCCGCAGGTGTGTTGAGTTCTCGAATCTCTGGGCTGCTTTCTCTTCTCTAGTAGCCTCTCCTGTGACTTGTAGCTGCCTTGGTCTCCCTGCACTTTCAGCTTCATCCCTTCGACTCATAGTGTTTTCTGGGCTCCATGTGTCTCTCCTGGTTCTGTGGTCTGCAGACCCCATGCAGTAGGCTGTTCAATTGAAGAACTCACCTCATTCGTTACTCGTCTCAGGAATCCCTGTCCTCTGTTGCCCCATGTCCAGTGACTTGAAAACCACTGTTTCATCTATTTTGCCCATTTTGGGGGGTGGTTTCAGGTGGGAGGGTACATCTAGTCCCTAGTGCTCCCTTTCCGGAAGCAGAAGTCTCAAGTGTTGCATGTTCAAGAAAGAAAAAGAAAGCAGGATTCTATGGCTGAGTATAGTGAGCAGGAATTAGGTAAGGGACCAGATTATAAACCCTTTAGGTCATGGTAGAGTTTGGATGTTATTCTAATGACGATCAGAAGCCACAGTGTTGAGCAAAGGAAGGACAGGATCTGAATTCTGTTTTAATGCGCTTGTTCTAGCTGCTCCGTGAGAACAGATTGTCACCTCTTCCAGGGGGAGAGGTGGGGCTGAGGCCATGTCTGGGCTGATACTGGCAGATTTCCTCTTGTGTTTTGAGTGGAATCCTTGACGAGGTGGCGAGACTGGCTGTGGATGCCTCTCGCACCGGTGGAAAGGTTGAATTTTGTTACGTTAGAACTCCAGGCCCAGCTTGGGCAGAAACTGCTGTAGCCTCTTCTCTCTGGCTCGCTTCTCTACCAGAGGTCTTCTGGAAACTTCAGCCTCTGACCTTAGCCCTTCTTTGCAGGTGAAAATCTTGGTCTCTGATCCCTTAAACTTGTTTCAGGGGATTCCTTAACTCTGTCTCTGTAATCTTTCCAGGCTGTAATCCCTGCAGTCGGTACCGACCCAGTTCTCTCGTCTCACGGGCCTCCATGACCTGCAGAGGCAGCGTGGGCATCACTTTTCCCCCTGGGTGTCTTAGAATCTCTCCAGGGAGCTGGGTGGAGGTGGTATCTGTGTTCCTTTTGGGCTCGACTCCCTTGTTTTTTTGCAGAAGTGAGACGCCTCAGCTGTTCACCGTGTTGCCAGAGAAGAGAACGGCCACCGTTGGGGGGGCCATAATGGGCTCGACCCACATCTACGACATGTCCACGGTGAGCGCTTGGAGGATACTTTGAGGGGCTGGCGAGGGAGCGGAAGCTAGGGCTTCTAAGGCTCTCTTTGGAGATGACAAGGCTCTGATCCTTTTAGGTTATGAGCCGGAAGGGCCCGGCGCCCGAGCTGCAAGGTGTGGAAGTGGCCCTGGCACCTGAAGAGTTGGAGCTGGACCCCATGGCCATGACCCAGAAGTATGAGGAACATGTGCGGGAGCAGCAGGCACAAGTGGAGAAGGAAGACTTTAGTGACATGGTGGCTGAACATGCTGCCAAACAGAAGGTAGGAGCTCACACCAGAACCAGGCTGGGTGGGAGCCAGGGACCTGGGGACCTGGGACTCCTTTTGCAGCAGAGTGGTGTCCTCTAGTGGTGAAAGCGAGGGAAGACTTAGTGCCTCTGCCCTGAGCCTCCTCGGTGTGGGAAATCTTAGAAGTGGGCTTCCATCTTTAAGGATGCTGAAACTGAGGCCCGGAGAGGGGAAGGAACTCACCTAAGTCTGAGAATCCAGTTTCGGCACTTTTTCCACAGATGTATGTGGCCATGTCAGGCTGCCCACCCTCGTTTTGGGGATCAGTTGGTTGTTTTAACCTGTCGTAACCTGTTTTTCTTTCTCTCCTTCAGCAAAAGAAACGGAAAGCTCAGCCCCAGGACAGCCGTGGGGGCAGCAAGAAATATAAGGAGTTCAAATTTTAGGTCCCCCTCACACACCCAGCCTTCCTTTAGGCCCTCTGCCTGGACGCTTGGGCTTTACACATGGGTCCCCAAGAGCCAGCTCTCCCACATTCCCAAGGGCTTCTCATTTCATGTTCTTATTTTAGACCTGTTTTGTAAATAAAGCTGCTTCCCAAGGAAAGAGATGAATATGTAATATTCCTGATCATCCTTCGTCTCCTTTTAGTCCCCTCCTGCAAAAGGACTAAAACAGCTTTTTTCTACACCTTCTGGGCTGCCCTGGTGACCAGGGACGCGCACCTGGATCATGATAACAGTTCAGACTGGTGATGAAGCCACAGCCTTACAGAAACTGTTTTACCACTGCCTACCTTTGTCGGAAAGCTCTGGGAGAAGTACCTGAAGGGTTTGACCTTCCCACTTTGTCCTTGGGGACTAAAAATAGACAGCTTAGTGCCCTGGCTCGCTGAGGAAGTACAGTGGGCTTGGGAAGTAGGCCAGGTCAGGCCTCCCTAATAGACCTTGTAGTCAGGAGAGGCCAAGTCCTAACCCAGGAGGGAACACAGCTCAAAATCCTGAGTCCGGGTGAGCCTGTGGGTGGTTTCAGTCAACCAGTCTCCACGTTTGTGCGGCGTCTTCCTTTCTCCAGGTTCTAGTACCCTGTGCAAAGTCTTCCTGACAGGCTAGACTAGGTTAAGGATAGCTGAGTCCAAAAGACATTTATTTGCTGAGCTCTGGGGAAATGTCACATACTGCTGCTGTACCACTGGTGTTGGTCTAAGTGCAGCAACTGAGGTGGCGGATGTGCAGGCTTCAAGATGGTTTCGGGAGCGGGGTGTGGGAGATCTCACAGAGGACGTGGCACTTGAGCTAGGCTTTGGAAGGAAGAGTTTTAGATACTTCTAAAGTGATGAAGCAGAAAAAACATTCCAAGTAGAAGTTGAGGGCAGGGATGGTGGGCTTGGGACTCTAATGGTTCTTTGGGAGAGCGGGGCTGTAGGGACAGAAAAGGGTAGGCTCCAGATGGGCCAGGGTTTAGCTTTGTAATTACCCCCTGCCAAGGGCCTTTGGACTCTAGGTCCCTGAGCCCCCCCGCCTACACTGGAGAGAAGCGGGGGCAGGAACTTCACTGTCTTTGGGTTCCCTGTGGCGGCAGACGCCAGATCTCCCCGTGCTCTTGGCGAAGAAACTCCGGGTCTGCAAGGCGGGCGCCAGGTCCGCGGTTGGAAAGCGAGTTTGGGCGGACGGCGGGTTCTGCCTGGACTCCGCAGACCCGAGAGGCCAAGGCGCGCTCCCGCGGCAGCCCCCTCGGGCCGGGGCCGCGCCCCGGAAAAGCAGGGTTTCCGCTGGCCGGGACGCTGCCGCCCAGAGGACGACGGGGGAGGGGAGGACAGGACGGGCCGATGACCCTCAAGAGCGGAAGATTTAAGGGGAGGGACCGGCCGAATTTAGATTTGAGCGAGAGCATATATCCAAAGCAAATACTGCCACGTCCCACAAAGACTTGCCAAATGCCGATGGCTGACAACAAATGTTCATTTGTTATTACTTTCAAGGCTATGAAAAGAAACACTGACGAGTAATGCAGGTAATAATTTTATCCTCTTCTGCCTAAACTGGGTTCCCAAACTGTACTTGTTCTTCCAACCAAAACAATTAGGAGAAAAACAAAACAAAAAAACCCCGATCCTTTTAGGTCAAAGCAGATTTGCTAAAATACAGCGGTATAATTAGTGGAGGAAGAAAACACCTCCATTAGTTCTGCAAAAAGCAGAACTATGTCTTCAGTGTTCGATGTGTTAATTACAACCAGATAGGAGGTGCCACGGAAAATTAACAGCCTCGCGAAGGCATGAGAGGTAAACAGGCAAACAGGGGCGAAGGTTTGGGAGAGCAAGTCGATTCTGGAGCAAGA